GAATGGTTAGGGTCACAATCATTGTATATCAGGAATTGTAAGGGTCACATACATTGTATATCAGAATGGTTAGGGTCACAATCATTGTATATCAGGAATTGTAAGGGTCACATACATTGTATATCAGAATGGTTAGGGTCACAATCATTGTATATCAGGAATTGTAAGGGTCACATACATTGTATATCAGAATGGTTAGGGTCACAATCATTGTATATCAGGAATTGTAAGGGTCACATACATTGTATATCAGAATGGTTAGGGTCACAATCATTGTATATCAGGAATTGTAAGGGTCACATACATTGTATATCAGAATGGTTAGGGTCACATACATTGTATATCAGGAATGGTTAGGGTCACATACATTGTATATCCGAATGGTTAGGGTCACATATATTGTATATCAGAATTGTTAGGGTCACATACATTGTATATTAGGAATTGTAAGGGTCACATACATTGTATATCAGGAATTGTTAAGGTACATTCATTGTATATCAGAAGATATCAGCTTCTAAGTGGTGTTTTTGATAAAGGGGGCATGATACCAATTGGTTTGTAATGCTGTCATCGAGACAGGTAAAAAAGCAACAAACCTGCTTATATGTGCTGTCATATCCGCGGTAAAACCTAATTTTTTGTCGACATTCTGGCATAACCTGGGTTGTTGCTACCACACACGCCTCGTCAATGTCACTATCTACGTTAAACCTAAGCGTGCATCCTTCGTCCACAGGTCGGCCTACCCAGTGTACTAGGATTGTCCCGTAGTCTTCTTGTAATACGGTATAACTGTACCCACAGTTATCATTTCCATCCATCCTGACATTGCGAATGTCTGAAACACATTTAGAACATTTCAACTCTTCTGCTACTTAAGGATGTACTATTCTGAGGTTTCAATCACGTTCAAGTCTCGTTTTGATCTGGTGTAATGGGTTTTTGTAATGTTTAACAAATTATGATCAAGTTTATTAGCAAACACGCATCTGAAAAAGAATTTGAAAATATTAACAATTCAGCGGCCATTTTGAAAATGTGTATTAATGTGTATTTCTTGCAATTCAAAAAAGGCCAAAATTTCACCTTTTTGACACTAGATTGATCACTTAAATTGTCATTGTGTCGCCATTTTTAAATGTAGCAGGTTCAATTTTGCTGTACATTTTTATAATGTTCGATACGATAAAAATAATAGGCAACAAACAGGAAAATTATACATTATTGATATTTATTTTACATATTTAGTGGAACTGAAGCACTTTTGATTTTTGACCCCGAAAAAGGTAAAAAAAATAACACAAATGATAATGGGACAAAAAAAGAAGCACACTGACCCCCCATATTTGTAGATGTTTTAGAAAGAGAAACACATTTTCATTTAATTCATTAAATATTAAAAAAAGTTTAATACATGTACCAGAACTTTTTATACCAAGCGTTGAATCTGCAAAAAATGGTAAAAACTGAGTATTTTTTCATTAAAAAATAGGGGGTATGGGTAACTAAAATCGGCTTTCTGAGTTAAAAGATTTAGAAATTTTACTTCCATAATTCCAAAGAAAATAATATTTTCATCAATTCTACAAACATTCCTACATATCTGATAACACACTTGGAAGAAATTGTATGAATTTGTTCTGCAAATGGTCAAAACCCAAAAAATCACCTAAAATCACATGTTTTGTTAAATTGGTTTCTTTGACCGATCATAACAAAAAAAGAACACACGGACATATAGTTTTTTTTGCATTTTCTACTATGCCATTAACTCATTTTCCAAAAATCCACATAAGAAAAAAGTTTAATACGGGAAATTTTGGCCTTCTCAGAGGTGTACATCCTTAAAGCAAATCAAAAGCTGAAATAATACTTTTTTTTTCTTTCCAGAAATGTTCCTGAAACTCTTTCATCTTTTTTAAAAATAATTCGACAACATTAATCTTTTCTTATTTTTTATTTGTATTATATGTTTTGTTAGATATTGTTGATCTACTTGGATACAGTAAAATCTGAAAAATTGCAGCAAAACTTCTTACGGGAATATTTAATTTAAATGCAAAAAAACAAAAACAAAAGAAACTGTTGGTCATATTTGTAAATTTTATAATTACTGAACAATGTATTAGATATAAACCAAAATGAAATAAAATGACCACTTCAAATCAAAAATTATCTTCAAACTATTGAGGAACAATGTGTATCAAGCTGACCCATTCAACAATCCACATCTTATTTCTCTACAGTGACTTTTTTATCTCAACTTTATTATTTTTTATTTCATTTTTTTGAGCATTTAACTTGTTCTTAATTATTAGATATGTAAATAAATTTATTAAATGCTTGGATCCAAACATTTGCAGCAACTTGCAATTAGTAGTTTGTTAAAGTGGAAATTCTCGTGTGTAAGAATGTTCTCTTGGAAAGGATTATTAATTTATCTATATTATATAAATACCTATACATGAGATCTAAGTATACATTGCGCATGAATATATTTCGCAGTTATTTCCACATTGAATAATTTCCACTTTTACAGTAATTTCAGAATCTCATGACGTAATTTAACTAAGCTTTTTATCCTGATGACATGGAATTCTTACCTGCTGTAACCACTTGTAACACCACAAGGACGAAAAGGCTGACACAGTTAACTTTTTCCATTCTGATGTCTGTTTTCCTGTTTCAGTTAGTATGCCTCCTTGCTTGACACTGTCTGTAAAGGAGATATACTTGAGATATAGTGAGAACAAACTTCAAACAGAGCCCCACCCCTATGCCCCTAGGGGGGTCATACCCACCAATTATACAAAATTGAGACCCCTTGCTCCAGACAAAATAAGGATAAAATCCCTTAATCCTGATGGTCGAAGAAGGATTTTAAAGGTTTTACCTCAATTTCTCCTAATGGGCCCCACCCTTCGGCCCCCTGGGAGACCACACCCACTGCTTATACAAAACTGAGTCCCCTTGGCCCAAGGATGCTCCCGAGTAAATTAGGATAAAATCCCTTAATCCCTACGATAGAAGAAGGATTTTCAAAGTTTTACCTCTATTTCCCCTATTGGGCCCCGCCCCTCTGCCCCAGGGGGGCCACACCCACCGTTTATACAAAAATTGGTTTCCCTCCACCCAAGGATGCTTCAGACCAAATATGGAACAAATCCTTTCATTCCTACACAAGAAGAAGGATTTTAAAGAATTTGCTATGTTCCCATATCGGGCCCCGCCCCTCAGACCCCTGGGGGACCAGACTATGGTTTATACAAAAGTGGCTCCAGACTAAATTAGGATAAAATCCCTTAATCCCTACGGTAGTACGATAGAAGAAGGATTTTCAAGGTTTTACCTCTATTTCCCATATTAGGCCCCGCCCCTCTGGCCCCAGGGGGGCCACACCCACCGTTTATACCAAATTGATCATGAGTCCCCTTTGCCTAAGGATACTCCAGACCAAATTTAGTCAAAATCTACTTGGCTGTTCAGGACTAGTAGCATTTTAAAGGAAAAGTTGACAGACAGATGGACGACGGATGACGCGATATGGCATAAGCTCACCATGGTCCTTTGGACCAGGTGAGCTAAAACATCATTTATGCCAGTTTAAGTTGCCATTTTATTTATGCATCAATCGTTTAAAACAAAAAAAGTGTCTCCCAACATGTTTAAGAAAACAAAAATGAAAGAAAATTAGACATTAGACATTGAAATATTCAAAATGTGTGCTGAATAGTACAAAACTATTATTTTCTATCTGATTTTGGTTGTCATTTATTTATCTATTTATCGCTTCAATCAATATTTATAAAATATTACATGGATTAATGATGATAAGGATGATTATGACGACTAAGTATTGATGAAGATGATGTTGATGATGATGATAAGTGTCATTATGACATGATGATGATGTTGATGATAAGTGCCATAATTATGACATGATGATGATAAGTGTCATTATGACATGATGATGATAAGTGCCATAATTATGACATGATGATGATAAGTGCCATTATGACATGATGATGATGATAAGTGCCATAATTATGACATGATGATGATAAGTGTCATTATGACATGATGATGATGATAAGTGTCATTTTGACATGATGATTATGATAAGTGTCATTATGACATGATGATGATGATTAGTGTCATTATGACATGATGATTATGATAAGGGTCATTATGACATGATGATAAGTGTCATTATGACATGATGATGATGATGATAAGTGTCATTATGACATGATGATGATGATAAGTGCCATAATTATGGTATGATGATGATGATAAGTGTCATTAAGACATGATGATGATGATAAGTGCCATAATTATGACATGATGATGATGATAAGTGTCATTATGACATGATTATACGATGACTGAGTGTTAAGTGATGATGTCATTCTATTGGTAAGATGATCAGATGATAATGATGATGATTACCATTATTAAATGATGATGACCGATTATCATTATGATAATGATGACTATGATTAGTCCTTCTATTGTAGTAAAGATGATGGTGATACTAATGATGTCATTCTTTTGTGGTTATGATGACAATGGGTAATGATGACGATGGATGATGATGAGGATGGGTAATGATGACGATGGATGATGATGATGATATCAAGGAAGTGTCATGATGATGCCATTCTCAAGTTGTTTTCGTTGTCATGACCAGGATGATGATGTTGATGGTTGTTATGATGTTTTATGCTGAGTAGTTGTAATTGTTTGTGTGAGAGAGTGTGTATTATTATGTCATGTTAATGTATTGTACTGTAGTTGTAAAAGGCTTTAACTAAATCTATCAGTATCATGACAAAAAACAACAACATGGATTCTGTTATCAAGAACAGTCAATGATGGAAAAAATAGCTAACATTATATATATATACATGTTTATTTTGAACTCTGTAAACTTTTAAAAATGCATTTATGCTTGACATGTACATAAAAACTGAACTTTACACTACACTGCTGCATGCTATAACACACCTGAGTTTTAATACAGCTAATTTACAGGTAGATGCACAGTGATACACCTGTTGGAACTCAAGACACTTTTTAAGAAAAATGCTATAATCCTTAAAAAACAAGTTGCCCCACACCAGGCAAAGTTGGCATTCACTCAGTAAGACACCCGTGATACAGACAGTTCAATATAAATATTGCCCTAAGCCAGGGATGTGTAGTGGACCCTCCACCACATCCCTGCAGCCTAAGCCACTAACATTGACTTACTTCTCAACGATGGCAAATAGGCCTAACATCAAAATCACCACTGAATCACTACTGCAGACAACATTATCAGTTGATAATGAATTTATAGCGATTAAAAAGTCAAATAAAACATGAAAGGATCCAATAAGTAGACATGTAATTGTTTTTTCTTACCTGCAAAACATCATCTCGTGATCTAGATCTCCTTGCGTCAAGCGTAGTGTTTACACATCGGCCATTTTGAAAATAATTATTATTTGACCCGGAAGACGGTACGTGAAATCCGAATTTTATTATTATCATTTTATCTATTTTTTTATTTACTTATTTTACGTCAATACAAACAGAAAATAACCGCAGATGAACTTTAAATTAATTGGACTTGTTATAGATATAATCAGAATTAATGATTAGCTATTTTCATTTTAAATTTCTTTTAGCATTCCTTGTTCTATTCATAGTTTTATGCATATTATGACATTGCTAATATATTGTATTGATGAATTATGTGCTGATGGTTTTATGACATTGTGTAATACATAAACATAGCAAACAAAACCATTATTCATATTTTCTAAAAAAAAGAAAAAAATGATATCTTTAACCTGTACGACCACCTGTCTTATAAATGTGATTTATTATTAATAAATATCTTTCATGGGGCTTGTTAAACCTTTAAAATTCAGTCACACCTAAAAACTTCTTAAAGATCTCGAGATATCAGACTAAAAATCATTTACTGTAAGACGCATTGTGGGAAATAGTGACATTAAAATATCTTACGACAGAGAGATTATCTAGAGAGACCAGTAACAATACACACTCATTGTCAGACATCTGAAGAGGCTCGTCACACTTAATGATTTTAAAATTACAAATAACGTAGACCGACTCATAGTCACCCTATACAATAGTTAACAGGGATGTAGAGCCTCGACCAACCTACACAAGTATTGTAAGCGATAAATATGGCAAGCCAAGTTGTCATTTATTCATGGAGCAATGTTGATCCAGTACTTAACCAAATTATATAAGATATCTCATATATTATATAAGATATCTTATATATTATATAAGATATCTTATAAACATATGAGATATCTTATAAACATATAAGATATCTTATTTTAAGTTTATGAGATATCTTATATCTTTTATAAGATATCTTATATACTTTATAAGATATCTTGTAAAAGATATAAGATATCTTATAAAAGATATAAGATATCTCATAAACTTTTCTTTATAAGATATCTTATATCTTTTATAAGATATCTTATATAATATATAAGATATCTTATATCTTTTATAAGATATCTCAATTAATTTTCTTTATAAGATATCTTATATATTATATAAGATATCTCATAAAAGATATAAGATATCTTATAAAGAAAAGTTTATGAGATATCTTATAAAGAACGAGACTCTCGCGAGACCGACAAAGAAGAAATGTTTGAAAATGACTGCTCCCGTTGTACTTAGATCACGAGTCCGATAAACGGGAGCTGTGTAAAACTAGCTTATTTTTCAACAGGAAGTATAACTAACACCAATATAGAATTTTAGTTGATATATTCAAATATTAATTATTATATTTACGCATACATTTTAAAATATTAGTGTTAGGAATCACACATTAATATATTCTAAAATGGCTGGAATAATCCAGAGTTATAAACTTTTCCGAAAGAAACTCGAGTGTTCTAAAGAGCCATTGAGAACTTAGAAAATGTCTGTGAAGTTGCTACATGTTTATTTATTCAAATGACAATTTAGTTTCGTTGGCCTAAAATCCAAAGGTTTAGATATAGTTCTTATTAGTGAGAATCACTGTCATTTATTAATCTGTTGTACGTCATTTTCAACCAGAATGAGACAAATGAAAGTAGTTTGCTGAGGATTTATATTGTGAAGGTGTAATGATGCCAAACTCGGTAAGAGCGCAGAAATATTGTCATAATCAGTCACCACATACTCAAATATAAAGTGAGATTTTAAAATTCATCTTGATTTATGTTATTTTTCGTACACAGCCTCGTTGAAGAATTCTAGTTTGGTTTGATTTGGGGAGGGGGGAGGGGTTTGGTTTATATTATTAATGAGGTCTTGTCTTATAGTTGATGTCAGAAAGCTAAGCTGAGTTAGTTGATTCAACATTTATCATTCACATCACTTGTCTTCTTTGTTGTAAGCAAAATTTATTGATTTCTGCTGATTTTCCTGTGTTATAAATTCATGGTTTAAAGTTTGTGTTCATGTATTTTGTGAGTTAACAGGTAAAGGACATGTACATCTGTTCAGTGTTCTTCCAAACCAATCAAATTAGTTAACCTACCCTCAGTGAGTCGCCCACCCCAAGTAGCTTGTTTAGATTTTGTCCCATTTTTCAAAGACTGTCCTATATGTTAATTTAGACCTGGTGGTATAGAATCTTGCAATCTACCAGATATAAGCAAATCTAAAATACACGAAGAATATTTATAATGAAATACAATTTATTATACCCAGGACATTAACTGCTTATTTTTACATTTGATCTAACTTGACCTCTCTAGGTTAATTTTAAGTCCAAGAAAAAATTCATAATAAAATATATTTATACTATATATGTGTACATATCACTATAGCAAGGTTATTTTATTATATTAAATTAATCTCATCATCTTTATTTATGAAAAGTGACTGGCACTAGATCATAAACTTAGGGAACTTAGATATAATTTCAAAAATGAAGAATGTCTTGTATTTCAGTTCCTTTTCCAAATTAATTTTATCACTCAGGGGAGCATATGGTACAAATAGGACTTTTCCCCCAAAGTTTGAAGCAGATTCCAAGAGAAATATTCAGTTTACTGATACATGTGCTTAACATTTGGGTTCAAGACTCAAAAACTTGTGGATAAGTATTGTATAACTCTTTTTAATAATAACATCTAGGATAGATATTTCAGCCCAAAAACATTTTTTTTTTTGATACAGAACAAATTCTGTTTGAGAATCAACTGTTTTGAACAGTTTTTTTTTTAAATATATAGCACCGACACTCAATCCATATTGATATGAAATATTTGAAATTTGAATATTTCTATAGTGCATAATTCCATAACCTTAAGTCTATAGGGACATGTCAAATACTACCAGGTACTCGTTTATATATACAATGGAAGATATTATATATAATGAATGGGCATCACAGTATATATATATATTTTGCAGCACACTTAATAAGCATGTGACATGTCCCTGTAACCCACATCTAATTATAGGTAAGTAGTGGGATTATTAGTGGAAGCCAATATCAACACATCCAACTAATACAGTACTTTAAAACAAGAGCCCCATGGGCCTAACAGGTCACCTGAGTTGTAATGCAATTGTTATTTGTTGTTGTGATATGTCAAAAATAAAAATTACATATATATATATGTATAGCAGGGAATTTTGCCCCTCACCAGGGAGGAATTAGTACCCAAGGGGTTGTGAAATTCACATTTTGATTAAGCACATCAGGATATTTCCATCCATGAGAAGGTTTTTTAACATATCTGGATCTGGAAGTAGACAATTATTGTTTGAGCTATTTTGGCCCCTTTTGGCTCCGCCCCTCAGGCCCTTAGCGTCCACATGATCACATCATGTAAATGTATCCCCTCCCCAAGAGTAAAAGGGCGACAATTGAAAAAAAAAACCTTAAGATATACACCTCATATACATCAGATATACACCTTCTAAACATCAGGTATATACCTTCTATACATCATGTATACACCTCCTATAGGTCAGGTATACACCTTCCATGCATCAGGTATATATACCTTCTATACATCATGTATACACCTCCTATAGGTCAGGTATACACCTTCCATGCATCAGGTATATATACCTTCTATACATCAGGTATACACCTCCTATAGGTCAGGTATATATATACACCTTCCATGCATCAGGTATATATATACCTTCTATACATCAGATTACACCTATACATCAAGTACATCTTGTATGCATGCACATATACATGAGGTATATGTAAGGTCCATATTCTCTGTAGGTAAGGTACCTCATCTTTATAATAGTTGTCTGATATTGGTTCATATTGATTGCATGCACAGGAAATATAACATGTTTGCTTGTGCTGGAGTTTCCCATTTATGTTCCCTTATTGTGGCCTCTCAAGAACAAGAAGCACAGGCACATTATTAATAGCTCACCTGGAATAATATTTTTCATTAAAAGTTGTTGATTACCTCTTACCATACAGGAAATATCAGCTTGGGGATCTCAACAATTTCCATGTTATGACTGAAGGAGTAAGTCCTCAGGGATGGGGTGGGCTCCATTAGGGACTATCTTGGTATCATGAGTGTTTTTCCTCTGCATGCCCAGCAGCATTTGGATGGGATCTTTACTGATTTCATGTAAAATTTGGGGACTATAAGCCCCTTGTGGCAGGGCAGGACCCTGGCGCCAATCATGTAAGCATGGATGTATTCAGATGGTTACATGGTGGGGGATCTTAATTATCTTTACACCCAAACTTCCTCTATTGGCACCCAAATGCTCTGGCCCAGTGACTGATTTGCCTCTGTTTTTTTCAGACCTGAGATATGCTACAATTACAGGTTTTTGAAGATGAAATGTCTTATTTTCCTCTTTACCGGAAATATACCATGTATATACTTTGTATCATGTACATTGTATCTTCTGGAAAATGAGTCAATACACTATATATAATAGAGATGATAAATACAGGTACCTTATGCAATGAGGCTGTATTATAGAGGATACCCTTACTAAATAAATAAGGACTTTTTATGTACCCTGTATACCACTCTCTATATACCATTCTTTATATACTCTGTAAACCACTTCTTATTTACCCTGTTTACTAGTTTGTATAATCTGTATACAAATCATTATATAACCTTCTCAATATTTCTTTATAAAGATATCTTTGTTGTGTTTTATAATAAACAAGAGGCACTGAGTTAGGACAAGTCTTTCTAACAAAAGTGTATCCAAGTTTTGATGCTCAGCAATATATTATATATATATATATTACTACATCCAGGTATAACACATGTAGTTACTACTACTGACAGGTATTACACATGTATATATTATCACAGATAGGTATTACACATGTAGTTACTACTACAGACAGGTATTACACATGTATATATTATCACAGATAGGTATTACACATGTAATTACAACTACAGACAGGTACTACACATGCATATACTATCACAGATAGGTATTACACATAAATACTACTACAGACAGGTATTAAACATGTACTACTACATACATGTATTACACATGAATATACTATCACAGACAGGTATTGCACATGTATTTACTACCACAGACAGATCATACACATGCATTTACTATCACAGACAGGTATTACACATGTATATACTATCACAGACAGGTAATACACATGTAATTACTACTATAGACAGTTATTACACATGCATATATTATCACAGACAGGTATTACACATGTATATACTATCACAGACAGGTATTACACATGTAATTACTACTACAGACATGCTGTAAGTGTTACCATGTATCTGGCTTGTGTGAAATGCCTTTTAGGTCACAAAATACAATTGTATCTCTACAAAATATATCTTATAAGTGATCAATATCTCAAAGACTTTAAAGAACATGCACCTGATGATGAAATATCACTTATCTGTATACATATGTATCAAATAATGAAATATTACTTCTTGTCTGTAATAGTATAAGTAAATACAAGTTTATAACCAGTTTGAAACAATGAATTAATGTTCCTTACATTACAGTATATTGATAGAACATAGAATTACAAATACATAAGTATGTTCTTTAATGTCTGTGATAGTTAAAACAATTTTATCTGAAACAATATAATTAAAGATACATAGCCTGTCTGTGATAATAAATACAGGTGTATGACCAGTCTGAAACAGTAAATAAAAAAAAATGTCCCCATGTCTATCTATATGTTATACTCCACAGAGACCAAAATGGCTTTAATGCGGTCTGTGATAAGCAGCCGAAACAATTAATAAATGTTCCTAATATGTTTAATGTCAATTACCTGTCTGTGAATTTGTACGGGTAATATTACAATTTTATCAAATTTCTTTAAAAACATTTAGAGGAAATCCGTGAAGAAAATCAAGATAAAACATTTTAATGAATAAATTGTAAGTAATACATGCAGTAGGATCGTTTTCCTTCAGTTATGAAATACATAGGAACATCCATTTCTCCACCACTTACCCCCCATCTACTTTATAAAGCTTAACCTTTTAAAATAATGTTAATACCGCTATAACCAGACCTATTTGGTGGCATTAAACTCCTACTTTCACTTTCACATACTTCATTTCCGGTTAAGAGATACGTACGAAACTAAGGCTTTCGATTTAATGCTTTACCGAGCGCTGTGGAGGAGGGTTTATTATCTCAAATTCAAATCTCGTTCTTTATAAGATATCTTATAACCGAATTATATAAGATATCTCATTTAATTTTGTTTATAAGATATCTTATATATTATATAAGATATCTTCTAAAAGATATAAGATATCTCATTTAATTTTCTTTATAAGATATCTTATATCTTTTATAAGATATCTTATATAATATATAAGATATCTTATATCTTTTATGAGATATCTTATAAAGAAAGGTATATAAGATATCTTATAAAATATATAAGATATCTCATTTATTATATAAGATATCTTATAAAGTATATAAGATATCTCATAAAGTATATAAGATATCTTATATAATTTGGTTAAGTACTGGATCAACATTGCTCCATGCATAAATGACAACTTGGCTTGCCATAGATACAGCTAGAATCAGTTACATAGCTGTGTATCACTCCTTATCAACATGATAGTTTTAATGAGAATGACACGAATTCAATGGGAAAATATGTATTAGAATGTTAATCCCAGACATCAAATATGAATTTCCTCGTATCATTTAAATAATGCTAATGCCTACGATATGAATCCAATGCTATTTACAGGGCTAAGCCAGTATGTCCTGATTATGTTGTTGTCAAAGATGTGTACGTAAACGGTTATCAACATGAGATATATGTGAGAGACGGATGAAACACTGACCTTACTCAGTTGATGACTATCACAGCCAGTCAAAATAGCACACCTTGTAAAGGATCCGAGGGTAACCTATATACAACGATCCAAACGAGAGGGAGAGTACGTATCTAAAGGCCACCTACGCCCTCGTGTCGACTGAACACAGTCAGTGGAATATAATATATACGACGTAAAACAAGACCAGCCTATCTCTTTACCCTGCCCTGTATGCGGGTACACTGTATACCCGTATACAGCTGCTTCTGGTCGGTACAGATAGACAACACACACAACACTTACCTTGAAATATCCCGTGTGTGTAGCTGTAAGTACAACAGCAAGACGATCCACTGTTTGGTTTAATACATTCTTTGTAGCGTAACTTGTTTATAATGAACATAGAGAGAAAAAACTCATACGTACCTGACTATCCTGTCATACCCTAGATTGCGAAATATAAATCACCAGCTCACAACTCTATTAATAGTATATGTGTAACACAACGGCCTTAGTGAATAGGTCGACATGTGTCTGGTTCTAAAAGGACTTTTTTATCACACGTGTGTTCAGACACATAACCTATATAATACACCCGTAGAGATCGAGTACTGCTTTATTTGTGTATCGATCTACTGACCTGATTAAATACATAGAACTGTTATCAGTTTTTACGTCCCTACAAAGTCCGGGTGAGTGATTGAAGTTGTCTATATCGGAGTTAAGGTTTGAGTAATATATTTTACTGAGTGTGTTATACGGGATATCTATTAATAGAACGGTTCATGTATTGGTATAAGTGTCTATAAGAAAATATATTGGAGAGGGCGTTCTTAAGTTGAGATAACTTGTGCCTATTCCTTTCTGTTGAATGACATATAAAATATGTTTAAATCAAGAAAATATCTGTCAGTCTTAGAATCGTATATGGATATATTCAAAGATGTTCTCACCAGAAACATTGATAAATTCATCCCATCTACACAAATGAGCGGGAGAGACAGTAACAATGGATTAACCACTCAATAAAGAAGATCCTGAAAAGGAAACAGCGCCTTTACACAAAGGCTAAGGAAACTGGGAAGTGGGAAAACTACAGATATATACAAAAAGAATGCAAACGCCAAATAAGGAAAGCAGAATGGAATTATATAAATCAAACCATCGTAGAAGGGCTGGAGAACAAAAACAACAAACCATTCTGGTAATATATAAAGTCTAAACGTCAAGACAATATGGGAGTCTCCCCACTTAAAAACAACGGGACATTAACATGCGACAGCAAGGGAAAAGCAGAAATACTTGTGAACCAATTTAAATCCGTGTTCACTGTCGAAAACAAAGCCTCAAACAATATGCCTCCAACAACCAAAAATGTAAAATCAAAAATTGGAGATATAACCATTGGTATAGAGGGGGAAACAAAACTACTTCGGAAAGTCAACCCAGCCAAAACATCCGGACCAGATGACATCCCAAACAGAATCCTAAAAGAGTGTGCCCAACAAATCTCACCAGGATTATCTGCAATATTCCAATGTTCATTAAATTCAGGACTACTACCATTAGATTGGCTCAGAGCAAACATTTCCTGTATATTCAAAAAAGGAGTACGACATGCAGCAGAAAACTACAGGCCAGTATCATTAACATCAGTA